GGGGGAGGGTTGTGGCTTGGGACTGTACTATAAATTTGGTCCTGAGGGGGGATGTGGGAGAGGGAGCAGATGACAAAATTTGCCAAGCATGGGATAGGGGGGGGGTGGACCTCTGAAAATCTTCCGCTTTCTCCCCCCTTATGGGCAGCCCTGGGTTCACCAACAACTGACCAGTTAACAGACCCTGACCTCAGGTCAGCCAAAGTCCCCAAGACGAAACCTGGATCCCCAAGAACATCAGGCGGCCAAAACCCTCCCCTGTGCATTTCCACTGGAGTCCATCGCACAAGAGCAGCACCAGCCCCATGTGACACCTGGACCAAAGCACAGAGCGAGATGGTGATGCTGTTCCATTTACACAGTCGTACGCCCTCAGCTGCAGGAGCAGAGGCCTCAGAGTGGACCGGGCAGACAGGACAGGGTGACTCCAGGCCAGGGCACCCAGATATTGTTCTCAGGGGCCAAATTCCATCAGCTACACAAAGCCAAGGTCTACGGCCCCTGACCGGGAGGTATGTGGGGTCCCCATCAATAAAATTTACAGAATGGGGAGTCTTCAGCCTTAAAAGTTCCTGTGCAAAGAGCGGCCCCAGCAATAAAACTAGCCGAGCGGGTGGGTCCGTGACCGATCCTGATATCTGGATGAAACTGCCTTTTGGTCCAGATCCCCTGTTCCAGACCATGTGTCCATTTCACAAAACGCAAATATTCCTCTTTTACAGCCCAAGATCGCATCCATCTGGACACTGTATGGGATCTCCCACAAAGCTGTTCCCATAAGCTTGAACCTCATTCCCTTCGTCTGTCAGTCCGACCTGTGACACTTCGAGACAGAGGGACGTCCAGCGCTGGACAGGGCGTCTCCCGGCTCTCACTCAGGTGACGGCGCAAGCATCCACAAACTTCCGAGGACTTCCAAGTATTCCGGTCTGACTGCACCCATCCGCAGAATCCAAATCCGTTCCCTTCTGAAAACACCAGCCCACTCATACCCCACACACCAGCACTGGTCTGACCAGAACCCCACAGCCTAAAGGCACTGTGCTTGTTAAGATCTGTTTGTATATTTTAAGGTACTTTCACAGCTGACACCACACTGAGCCCACCAGGACCGACCAGAGGAGACCCTAACTGGCACAGCCTGGCTGGCTGAGGAACACATAGAACCTTTCGGCTACCGAAACACGCAGAGCACACAAAGGGAAAAATTAAATGAGAACGGCAAATTCTGACGTGGAAAAAACGAAGTGTCACAGGTTCAAGCACCCCCCCACACTCGTCACATATTCGAGCACCCCTCCCACGTAAGTCGCAGGTTCGACAGCCCTGCTGACTTCCGCTGCGGGTCCAAGCCCCCCCGCCCCCGCGCCCATTACCTTTGTTGCATATGGCACAGTAGTTGTGAGGCCCCTCGCTGTGTTTTTTCAGGTGGTCCGTCATGTAAGCAGCCCGCAGGAACTTCCCACACACCTGACAGGGGATCTTGTCTTCGTGACAGGCCAGGTGGGACCGCAGCCGGTCTCGCGTGGCAAAGGAGGCGTTGCATATCTGGAGCGATAGGGACGGCCACAGAAACAAGGGAGAATCCTGAATACACACCACTGACAGCTCTGATGGGGACGCACTAATAGCCCAGCATGGCTTTGAAAACACTTTGATTAAAACCCAAAGATTTACCTTCAGAGGCTCCGGACAGGTCGCGACCCCACCGCCTGATGTACTCACCTGGCACTTGTGGGGTCTCTCTGACGTGTGGACCTGTTTTATGTGTCCGTTCAGATGATCTGGTCTGAACACAAAAGGGACAGATATAAGACTCTGGAAATCAGACTGATGTGTTTCTTAAGACCAAGAGAAACATGTGATCCCCAAAAGCGTTAATGCAGAACTTATGCAGCAGAGATCTTGAGGTAAGTGCGACCAGCATCCCATGACGAAAAAGAGCAACAAGCACAGCACCACCATGTAAAATGGATGAATGGGGACAGTTGTGGGACAGACGGGAACCTTAATCCAAAGAAGCAGTAGAGAGACATGAAACTCACACCTCCTGGGTTTGGTAGGAGAACCCTGCCTCTCCTCTGAGTGTGGAACTTGCACATTCTCTCCATGTCACCTGGGTTTCCTCCCACACTCTAAACTTGCCTCTAAAATCCCACAGTGTGTACATGAGCCCTGTGAAGGTCTGACATCCTGTTCAGGACATACCACTGCCAGATGATACCTGGGATAAGCTGTAAAATAAGCTGTCAGAAGTTGGATGGACGGATGGATGGATTTTTAGTACAGCCTTCAGGAGGCACAGAAGGAGCACAGAGGCAAACCCTAAGATGAATAAAGTCAAAATTACAGGGAATGAGTAAATACACAAATACAAACATAATGCATCTGTTGAAAATAAAAGCATTACTCTAATCTGAGACTGCAGTCACACATGGAGATAACGTCACTCTTTTAATGTACACTCCATACATTTAAATGACAGAGAACATGCCCTCCAGAGGAAAATCAGGAGAGGCCTCTGCAACGGAACAGTGAAAAGGTGAGCATGCCGGTGCGCGGGAGTGTTTAGCTAGAAGACGGGCTGCGGGAATTTCAAATGTAGACAATACATACCCGAGTGTAAAAGGCGAATGTTAAACCTGCAACTCTGGTTTCACATGTGGACACAAAATTAGCATCCAAACTACCTGAACACTCACACACCCTGGATACTGAGCAGCAGAAGCCAGAAAACAAACGCAAGATGCTTAAAATGCCTAAAGGATGAATCCTGGACTGGAAAAAACACCACAACTGCAATTTTAATTAAACAGATACCTGTGGATCCTTGAGGGATCTTTGGTCGCATCTGTGAACCATGCCACTCCCCAGCACCCCCACAGCATAGGGGTAATCTCTCGAGGACCAAACAGATTACAGATTACAGTGACAGACTGCACAGGTTTGTGTTTCAGGGACACAGTGGACCATCTCCCACCTGCTCCTAGACCACATCCAATGAGCATGCAGCTGTCAACTCCCAACTCCACCCACCAGGGGGATTCCAGGTGTGTCTTTGGGGACTCTAAGCAGATGTGAAACGACATTCTTACTCTGTTGCTAAGCACAGCGTGCCGGATTCTCCTGTACCATACTGATCATCTTCATTTAATAAGGAAAAATATATAATCCATCAATCCATCCATTCATATGCAGTGCCAAAGGCTACAATGACATGGAGAGTTGATGTGCACCAACATGCTAAAACAAACAGCACAGTATGGTAATAACAAAGAGCCTGAAGGCTACTCATTACTGCCCAACTTCCATAACGAAGGAAAGCGGTGAGATCCATTCAGCCAGCAACACTTAAAGAGATCGGACCTGGAGGCAGTAAAGGGCCACTTTGCGCCTGGATGGAGGACACAGCTTGCCGAAGTCACCGCTTGCTCGTAAAAGACAGAGTTGTTCATATATTGAATGGAGCTGAAGGGACTTTTAGACCCTCTGACACATTAAAGGTGACAGAATTCACTCTCCCTGTTTACATCTCGCCCGAAAAACACAGAGGACAGCATTCTGTCAGTACAGCGTCACCTCCATCCCTGGTGTAAATTGCCCACAGCAAGTCAACATATTGCTATCCCACTGAGACACACACACACACACACACACACACACTGGAAGCAGCCAGCACATCCCTGGCGACAAGGCTCGCATCAGTGGGCCCCAATCGCGATGCCACCAAGACGGCAGGAACTGCTGACTCTGACAGCCCCACACGTGGCCCCGTGGCTGCGTCACGCCGTGTGCATTTCGGCATGAACCTGATAATCCTCCATTCAAACGCATGCATATTTCTTGGTCAAACGCACAGCAGGGGAACCGACAAGACTTCACGGATCACAGTGCGTGTAAAAGCGCACAAAGCTGAGCCCGGCCGCCGGCACTTACCTGGAAAAGCCCTTCCCGCAGCTGTGGCAGACGTACGGCTTTCCCACCGAGCCGTCGTGGGAGCGCACATGGTAGGACATCCTGTCCTTGCGCTTGAAGCGCAGCCCGCACACTGGACAGGCGTACGGCTTCTCGCCGGAGTGTGACAGCTTGTGGCGGTTCAGGTGATATACGTCCCGAAACACCTTCCCGCATATGTCGCAGCCGACGTGGCGCCTCGTCCGCTCCCGCTTGCGGCCGCCGTCGGCGGCAACGTGCAGCACCACGCCGTTCTCCAGCAGCCCGGGCTGGGGGTGGGCCAGCAGCCCGGGGCCGCCCACGCCCACGGCCGCCGACGCCGCGTTCCCGGCGGCGCTGGACGCAGCGTGCTGCGCTTCGTGGTTCCGCAAGCGCACGGCCTCGGTGAACACCTTCCCGCACACGCCGCAGGGGTAAACGCCGTGTTCCTTGTGCGCGGTGTGGTTGAACAGCACCGGCTCCATGGTCGGCACCTTCTTCGGCCGTCCTCTGCCTCGCTTAACGGTACCCTGAAACGGGTTCCCGGCTAGCTCCGCCTGCGTCCCCGGCGGCCTGTCGACGGCGTGTAGCGCCGACAGGGCAGATTGGGAGCCGCCGCCAGACAGCACCGACCCGGGAGCATGGGCGCCATCCACGTCGTGGGTCTGCCCGTTGCTCCCGAAGGCGGAGCCGTTGGCCAGCAGTGCCGCGCCGTTGGACATGTCCAGGGGAACGGGGTAACCCAGATCGGCGGCCGGCGCCGTGCGGAACAGGCTGAGGTCCCCCCGCGTAGGCGGGACCAGGATCTGCACGTTGGACTGCTTGATCACCTCCTGGCAAATCTCGATGACCGAGCGCATCAGCAGGAACTTGGCGGCAGTCATCAGCTCGGGGAAACACTCCAGGCGCACCACGATCCTGGAGGTGTACGCGAAGTCCAGGATGTCCTTAAAAACTTTGGGGCTGATGGTGTGCATCTCCAGCTCCTTGGTCTCGCCGTCCTCCGCCTGGCAGCTGAATACAGACTCGAAGTACTCGCTGCAGGCCGCCAGCACCGCCCTGTGCGCCGGGAAGCTCTCCTCGCCGACGCGCAGCACCACGTCGCAGAAGCGGCCTCCATCTTTTCTCTGCGCGTTGAGGTTGTGCAGCATCTCGGCGCTGTGCTTGCTCACCTGGTAGGTGTAGGACGAATTCCACGGCTGCTCCGCTACCCTCTCCATGTCGTCTTCATCCACGGACGGGCGCGTCTGCGAGCGGGAGGGGGGTGGGGGAGAAAACTTTAAAAATCTACACAGTAAACACGCACGGCGACCACCACTCTTCAGCTCTTTTGCATCTAAAATGTTTGCACGGGAAAAATGGCAGCCCCCCAGCTTCCTGTGAACTTTGACCTTTGTTTAAAGGGAGGGGGTGTCGCTGCTTCTTGTATTTTTCCTCTGAGGGACGACGGCAATGCATTTTCACCGCATGCCAGAGTCGGCGAGTGGAGCTGAGGGCGCCAGCTGAAAAGCCGACAGTCGGCTGCGCGTCGCTCCGCCGAGCCGAGATCTTCCTGTTTCCCCTCGTCTCATATGAGAATTCACATCCCAGCCTTTTTTTCTGTGCCCCCTCCCCTGAGCGGCTCCCCTCCCCCATCGACACATACACACGTCGCTGCGCTCGCACAGAACGACTCGCCCAGTGAAAATACAGGTTTTATAAACATTGCATCTGAATTTATAGGCGTTAAAAATGCAACAAATGAAATACATCTTGAAATAGATTGTTTGCGTATAGAAATTGTATCCTCAAAAAATGTCCCTGACAAAATGGATGCATATAAGAAAAATGGTGATGACCTCCCCCGCAGGTTGTCCCAGACATCTTCTAGCTAGTACCACCAAAGCCCTCGTAATCTTTTATTTCAACAGCGTCCCTTATTGTCTACGACCAATGCGTCGCTGTACTTGCAGGTCTTACTTTCTCTGAAAACTGTCAGTCTTTAGGTGGTGGAGGTTGGTCGTTTATTATTGAATTATACATCTTTTTTGATCGTTTTGTTTTGCACATTAAGTGAACAAGAAAACATACGAGTTGGATTTATGTCCCTTACCGGCACCTCTGAAGCTATGTTACTTAATTATCCCCTACAGCTACTCCTGTCAAACTCTCACGTTTAAGTATGAAAAGGTTATATTAAGGATGTGAATCATATTATAATATGCGTATTAATACAGTTACACAAAGCCATATGCAGTCTTTCGATTTGTACAGTGCAATACTTATTAAATTTTGCATTATTAAAAACAGTACAGAATCGCGAAGCGTGGACAGCGCTCCAGTCCAATAGGCGTAAGCATTTAATACCGTCCGCCGTCAGGCGTACATTGTGTCTGAGTACACATCTATCCCGCTTTGTAAACTGAGCGGTCTCCACCGGAATTGACGTCACTAAGCACGTTTGCGCAGATTCCGCAGGCGACTGCACAGCAACGTCCGCCTGCACAACCCATCCGATTGCCGTGACACTGAAAAGCCATTAACAGCGAAATGAACGAGGGGGAACGAAGAAGCTGGGTGTTAAAATTATTTCTTATAAGAGACTAAATATACACCGCATGTTTATCATTTCAAGAACATCATGTATGAAAAACTCCCTGTGCGGACTGCATGAACTCAGCCGGAAATTGCGTTACCGTGGATCCCAGCGGCGTTTGACACCTGCAAACTAACTTGAATCGAGTTTGTGTGCTACGTCGGCTGTCCGGGAGGTTTAGTTTTTTATTTTTATTTTAGGTCTTTCAGACTTATCTGTCAAAATTAACGTTAAGATGGTTCCCATCAGTATATGTACATTTAATTGCTGTATACAGACAATGTATATTGATGCTGTGTATCTTAACTCTGAGGTAAACGCCACCCACTGCATAACTTTGAAAAATTGCTAAAAAAAAAAAAAGTGCGCAAGGGGCTGAGATCTAACAGTGATTCGTATCATAGAAATGGAAACAAATAGAGATGCTTCGATCAGAGTTTTTAACCGATTCCATTGTGTCAGAACTGCCGCTTCGTTTTGGAGTGCTTAACTCTTTCCATACTAAATAAAGTAATATAAATAAACACACAATAAAAACAGCATACTTCTGTTGTAAATTTTTTCCCTGATCTTTTAATGTTAAATATGGTAATAAAAAATAAAAACAAAATTAAGAGGCTTGCTTTTTTTAAAAAATAAGTATAAGCATCTCTGCATTTTGGAGAGTCTATTCCTCTTCTTATTCAAGATTTGTGCAGCTGTACTGAGCAACCGCTTCCACTCCACACGTGTACGTGAAGCACAAAGATCGATAAACTCGGATTTTCATATTACTCGTACGTACTCATCTCGGTGAAGACGCAAATGTCTAATAAGGTTCGTAGCGATGAATTCCTTAGTAGATGATCTTCCGCGAGCAACTTCTTTTGCACATATGTTGCAAATCGCAAATCTTTCATCTTTAATAGATATCTGTTAAAACTGCCAGATCTGAGATGACATAATGCCGCTGCTGTGTTTTAAACTTAATCCACATATTTTAAGTCATCAACGCACATGTATATTGTACGTCATCCTAAAAATCGGTATTTGGGATAGGTCAAATTAAAGCGTTTAAGACTGAAAATCGACCGATTTAAATCGGCTGCCGATCTATCGGAGTATCTCTGTATAATCTCTTATATAAAGTACTGCTTAAAACAATTATATCCAAAGTACTCATTATCTCCATACAGTTGTGTATGCTTTCTTCCTATGCTTGTAACGTAGCATTTTGTTTCATTGCTGTACTTTTAATATAGATAGAGATGTCACCCGTCACCCGCCCCCCTATCCGTTATATATAACGATGCAGTTTATCGATATATATAAGCATTTAAAAAAAATAGATTAACTAATTTAATCGCTGAAGTGTGACAAAAACAAAAATACTTTAAGTCGTTGTGCACTATATCAAAGATGAACGTCGCCGTTTGTGACACTGCGACTGGCGCAGCAACTACGCTAGTCCCAGTAAAAATCAAATATAAAATTACAATTATCATTTACCAGCAACACCTGGTACATTTTATAATGATTTGGTTGAGTAGTCTATATAAAATTCATTATTTAGTTCATTAATTAGTGTACATTTATTCGGAAGGCTAAAGAGAATATTAAATACCCTCGAAAACAGTTATAGCGACGCCCCTGGCGTACATAAAACATAAAATGTTTGTAAAATTATTACACTCGGGACGTATGTTACAATGGACGCCAAAATACTTGCCAGACATTTAACTACCATGTGATGAAGTGTGATATAACTTGCAATTTTGTGGAAATAGTGTACGTCTAAATAAAAATATGCGTGTGTATGTAGCGCACAACACCCACGAAAAAGCGTTTCCGCCTTTTCTGCTAAATAAACAAACAAGTCTAGAGCACTTCTGTGTAAGGTGTAAAGAAATGGGACACCCTTAAAATATCTGTCTCCCAGCACGTAGACGATAGGTGGCGATTTGGGACAAAGTGAGAACCGGAAGTGACAGTGAGAGTTTGCCGCCATATTTAGGTGTCTATGAATTTTGCCCAATGGTCCTTCGTATGAGACTTAAAAATCACAGTCGTTGTGTTTAAAATAGTATCTGTATCTAAATCGAATATTTTATATGTGAACGTTCTGCGACATTAATAATTTGATGAAGCCGCCGGCTTTTTATATGCGAGTTCCCGGAGGTGCTAGATAAGGCGCGACTGGGCTGTATATAATCGCGCCGGGGACCTTCTCCCAGAAGCAGTGAGATATCTGAAGAAAATTGCTGCTGTACGACTGGAAGAGAAAGACGAACCTGAGACCGTAACGACAAACCCGAGGTAGCTTTGGACACTTGGTTGGCGTCAGGTTAATTTAGTCTGCTTACAGCATCTGGGGCCCGGCCCCGCGCTGAGTTCTGCCGGGAAAGCCGCATAGATACTGCGTTGTTGTTGCTGCGGGTATCTAACGAGCTCATTTAGCTACGTGCGCCAGGGGTGTGTGGGGCCGTCCGGAGAGGGCCGGCTCCTTTGCTAGCTCTTTATTTTGTTACACATTAATGGGTCCACGGCCTCGGTTCCTAGGGCAGCGGAGCGTACAGCCCGGGGGAAGACTTTTTCCGGCATCCCCGGCCGGGCCGGTTGCTGGCCCGCGAAGCCATCAGCCCGGACACCAGTGCCGTGTTTGCGTAAACCCGTTGAGATGCCCAGCCATTCTAGGGGCCCGTATGCCTGGCCATAGGTGCCAGGAAAAGTAAGCTTCCAGTCGTCCAGGCTGTATGTGGTGTTTCTGTTGGGCACTCAGTTCCCTTACTGGGCCATCAAATTAAATGAAATGTTAAATGAAGACTAGGCTCCAGTAGGTAAGGGCAGTCCGGTACCGTGCCCACCCGAGTCGTGTGCCGAAGGGAACAGCTGACGGCCGAAGTGTAATCTCAAACCTGCGCTTGAACCGGTTTGATCGAAGTCTTGTTTATTACCTTAATGTTCGCACGTGTGCTGCGAGCATTGCTGCCAGACGGCGGCAGAGATCGAGGGTGCTTTGGTTGGGAAGCCTTGTAGTGCAGCACAGCAAACTACGACGCTCTTTACAAGCTAAATTAACCTACTAGCCACGGAAAGTGGCGTTCACCAATTAAGCACGCTTCCTTCTCTTTGGTGTTAAATTCTCTGCTCACTCGCTTTTCAGGGTCTGTCTACCTTGCAAATGCGTATCTAACCCAGCGTGATGTGAAAATCTTGTGCTGTCTTTTTTTAAATGTAAAAGTACTCTTCATTTTAGATTCTATTATTCACACAGAAGCTACCAATTTGGTTTGGCCTTCTACAACAGCCATGGAGAAAGGTGACTGTGTAGAAGAGCAGGAGAATGGTGAGGCCTCCACAGAGCTGGTGAGGGAAGGAATGGCACCCTGTTACCGGTACACCAAGGTGAGGACCTGGGCTCACTCTGCTTTGGATGTTTTGTTCCCTGTGAGTGCCTGTTTAAGCGTACATCCTGTTATGTTGTTTTATAGGAGAGGCTTTTGGAAATAAGGGGGCTTCCATGTTCCAATGAGAGGCCGGAATGCCTTTCCGAGAAGTATGACAGGTAAAATGGTGGTTTTATTTATTGAAAATCGTATTTGAGTACTTGCCTAGACTATGTACATGCTTTTCCAAGATCCAATAGTTCACCTGTTGCCTATTTGTGGTTTTCTGCCTTGGGGGGGGGGGGGTGATGTGGTGATGCTAGCCTTCCATTATGTGACTCAAGCCCTCGGACTGTTTTGGCTTTACTGCCTACTGAGGACCTCCCCTGACAGATATCTCTAGATACCAGTTGCTTTAGTGCCGATCTGCACTGTGCAGTAGTTTGGCTAACAGGTCAGCAGAACGCACAGCCGTCAATCTGGTGCCCTTGCAGAAATGGCCAGCCTGCCTGACAGCCCAATGTATCATAGGATGCATAATGAGCAGTTGGGTAGATCAGCACCTGGTCCTTAGGGCAGTCACTAACATTGTTTCACCCTAGTGACGGCGTGTGGGACCCGGAGAAGTGGCACGCGTCGCTGTACCCCAGCTCAGACCGGGTGTCTCCCGTGGAGAGCTTTAAGAGAGACTATGCTGATGACCGGATTCCCCCGAAGCGCAGGGTTGCAGGTAAATGATGGGGTTTCTGTGTAATGATTGCTGTGGGGGGTGGGGGGGGGGGGTATTCTGCCCAATTTTCTGTAGCTCCTGCCTTTGTGGATACAGTGAGATTCTGTATTTAGTGGCATTTACCTTTATCTGCATGTCTCAAAGTCCAGGTCACTGTTGTCATGGCTGTGCAGCCTTTCTGGTCATGGCAGAAGTCTGACTCCTTGCTTTTGGAGGGGTGGGGCATGTGCACATTCCAGATCTCCTTCCCTCCCAGTGTGCACCTAGATTCTTTGGGTGAAACTTGTTTTGACTCTTGAAACCTTACAGTTAGGTTTGAATAATCGTTTTGCGGCTTTTCTTATTAAAGCCAATGCAGTATCAGTAGGTTTGTCACAAGAGTAAACGCCAGCTATGCATGCTGACAAATGGGAAGGCAACAGGCAAGTTGCTGTAAGCACAGGATAAAAGGAGGATCTTGCTTTTCTGCAAAACAGTTGTGGTACTTTTTTCTCCTCAATGATTTGTCATGCAGCAGATGGAGTGTTAACTGTAAAACTGTACTCCAGTATCACTGGTGTAGCATGCATTCCACTCTTCTGCTCCACACCTCTTCAGCTGATCATTTGGATGACCTCCATCGTGTCTCCAGAGCCAGCTAGTGGAAATGTGACCTGTGCCTGGCTCTGCATGGCTCATCTTTAATGTCTGTCACTGTTGCTTGACATGGCCACTGGCTTGGTGCTGGCCAACCTTGACAGGAACCCAGAATTGCAGTGACCACCTAGTGGACAGATCCAGCTTCTCTTGTAATGTCAAAGTGTCAAGGATATATGGATATATCTCATTTATATAATGTAAAATTCCCCCCAACTACTCTTTCCTAATTGGTGCAGAGTTGAACTGTGTTCCATAACCTCAGGGTTAGAGGGAACTCTTACCAGGCTTTTGTGATGTTCATTGTCATTGTGAATGATTTCTTCCACTGTCACTGAGAATCTTGCTGAGTATTTGATCTATGGCACTGGTTGTGTGGTGTGTGTGTTTTTTTTTTTTTTTTTTTTTTTTTTGGGGAATATAACTGAAGTTGCTTTTAATCCAGCTGATGTTCATGAAAACGTGCTTTATGAAATGGAACTGCCTTTATAATTGCTACAGGAAGTTGGACATTTGCACAGGGTCTTGCTCCCATGTGATCTGTCCACAGGTTATGGATGGCTTTTGGTCTTCTGTATGTTTAGTCTGTAAAGATTCTGGAAGTGACTGATTTTCACTACTAGCTACCTGCATACCCCCAACCCATGCCATAATACCATATTGCTTCAACCCCAGATCCCCGTGAAAGACTCAAAGAAGATGACCTGGACGTGGTGCTGAGCCCCCAGCGTCGCAGCTTTGGGGGGGGCTGTCAGGGTAGTGCGGTGCCGGTACCAGCCATTCGCCGGGCTATCAGCCCCCTGGAGAACAAGGAGAATGAGAGTCTGCGACTGGGTGGAGCGCGGCGAGTGGGCAGTGGGCGCATCATGGCCACGCGCGGATTCGAGAGGGACTCCCGCGGAGACAAAGACGTCCGTGAGCGGGACCGTGACCGTGACTTCAAGGACAAAAGGTTCCGGGTTAGTGGTGCCTTTTGTTGTCGGGGTGAAAATTAGCTGTATAAGGAAAACCCTCCCACAATCTTCTGAGATACTAAAGTCATCCTGTCTCTTCCAGCTTGATCCTTTTGACAAGGACTCTGTTCTGTTATGCTGGTACTTTTGTCTACTCATGCTGAAGAGGAAACTCATTTGAGAGATGACTCCCCACATTCACCTCACCACTGTACTTGGAACTAAGCCCCCCCCCCCCCTTTTTTCCCCTCCTTTTTCCTTTTTGTCACTCTCTAGAGGGACTTTGGCGATAAGAGGGTCTTCAGCGAGAGGAGACGAAACGAGTCTTACACAGAGGAGGAGCCAGAGTGGTTTTCTGGGGGTCCGATGAGTCAGTCGGAGACCATCGAGCTCATCGGCTTTGACGAGAAGGTGCTCGAGGAGGACAAACGTCGGCCGAAGCGTTCACGCAAACGATCAGAATCTGTAAAGGAGGGTAAGGTCTTGTCTGTATTCCTATTTCTCAAGCAAATTGGAATGTGCACAGTATTTCAATGGAACTCTGTTGTGTACAAACTGACGTTCAGTGTCTTTCCATTGGACAATGTCAGAATCCTATTGGTTGGGCATCATATCGCTTACAGATTAATGCCCTATAGGGTAATCGAGTGCTTTTTCTTGATCAATAGTCTTCAAGGCCTGTAGGATCTTCACAGCTTTGTTGATCCAAAAACCCTCAAACTCATAGAATATTTCTGCAAATATAGAGATGGATAAGTCTCTAGTGCCTGAGTAGAATAGTCTACAATGTTGTCTTGGGGCAGCTTTGAGATGTACAGCCTGCTCTGCCTTGCTTTTGGTGTGTTTGAAAGCTGCATAAATGTTCTCCTGCAAAGCCTGTCAGACCCGATCAGATGCTAGCCCCAGTGCTTGTTGCTGAGGCAAATGTTCATTGGTTTGTGTGTGTGTATTTGGTGCCACTTTTACCCATGGCTGCAGCACTGGAGTGTAATGGTGGACTTGTAGAAGAGCCTGAGAGGGTTACGGAGCCTGCTGCTGACCAGGAGGTCCCACAGAGCAAAGCACTGCAAGAACAGACCATGGGAGAATTTGACTTCAATGAATTCTTCAACCTAGAGAAGACTATGCCTGGGCTGGCCTCGGTAAGAGGGGGCGGTGGTGGCAGACCTCATGGCTTGCTTTGGTGATGTGCAGAATCTGTTGTGGTTTGAAGGTCATTGCCATACAAATTTATGCCCATCCCTGGTTCTGTTTGTGTCGTCATGTCTGCTGCTCACGTTCCGTGTCCTCGTTCATACGTGTGCTTTCCTGGTGTCTGCTGTAGCTGTCCCGGAGCTGCTGGTCTCTCCTTTTGTGGCCATGTGTCCATACTTTGGTAGATCCTTTTGACATGCGTCCTCTAGTAAAATCATACAGCAATTTGGCTGTTTCAGCCTCCTTAAAGCCAATAGAGAAGCTCTCACCATTTGAAAGTTTTTAGGCCATTTCTCAGCAGACTGACCTAAAGTAAGTCCTGAACTCGTGCATCTGTACTTTGAACTTGCTGTGTTATAATGGAACTTTCAAATATTAAAGGCTGCAGGTTTTACTTGGCAAACTGGAATAAGGGAATCTAATTAGGTTTTAATGCTTGTGTCCGTCGCAGTCTGAGGGGTTTTCGATGTTCTTAATGACCTACTGACTAAATGCCTAAAATCCTCATTAAGGATGAGGAACTGTAGCAGTTAGGTAGCAGTGGTAGGTGTTAGGTGAGCTTCCTCCAGCTCTCCCCTCCCCCCACCCCCCCTGCCCAACACGCTTGCTGGTGTGGGAGCGCTCCTCTCACGTAAGTCCCATCTGTCTCAAGCACTTTCTCTGCTCCTGTGTCGGTTTCCCCGCTCGCTGATGTCTCCCTATTGCAGATGATCGAGGACGTGCTCGGGGAGGGCTCGGCGGCATCCAGCAGATTCAGCCGCTGGTTCAACACGGTCAGCCCCTCGGCCAGCCGCTCCAGCAGCCTGCGCTCCACCCCCCACGAGGAGCTGGAGAAGCTCGCAGGTGCCACGTCTGCCCCGGTAATGAGGCCTTCCCCAATGTGCAAGGCCTGGTGCGAGGCTGACTGCTCCCTCTCTTAGGCCTGGATCCGCATGGTGTTCCCTCCAGCATGGCACCCTACTTCACCCCCATCCAGTCCGAGGAGAGGCGGGATAAAGTGGACATCTTAGCATTGCTCAGCAAGGCCAAGATCGACCTCAAGCCGCTGCTGTCCAGCCTGTCAGTCAACAAGGAGAAGCTGCGTGAGAGCAGTAAGTTCCGAGCCATGCAGCACGCCTGCCTGTCCTCCACGTGTGATGCTTCTAGAGCAGTGTCTCGACAGCTGGAACGTGGAACGTCTGTGGCTCCCCGAGGACCGGATTGAGAGACCGCTCTAGAGGGCCTCTCCTCAGGTCGGCCTATAACTGACTCCTTGTGCCCCCAGCGCAGTCAGGCGTGGTCCTGTCTCTGGAGGAGGTAGAAGGGGGCCTGAAGGCCCTGAAGGTGGAGGAGCAGCAGCACGGTGGAGGGACCCCCTTCATGGCAGAACACCTGGAGAAGGCTCTAACGGGCCAGCCCGCGGACAGGCCTCGACCTCGCGATTCTGACATGTCTGCCTTCAACAAGCTGGTCAGCAGCATGAAGGCAGGTGGCACCCTGCCCACTCAGCCCAAAGTCCATGTAAGTCTGCCCAGTGGCGCCCCCCACTGGCTGCCCTTTGCATGTGGAAGTGACAGGTATGTGGGCTGGCGGCTGCAGCCAGTGCCGTCTGGAGGCTTTGGGGATGTGGCTGGCATGCGCTCTTGGTATTTGGCTGAGGGGCTGCGTCCTTGTGGTCTGGACAAAGGAATGGGCATAAATTTGTATGCAGTTGACGAGCGTCCAAAGCGTGGTGCGAGATCAGCGTGGTGCCTCGGGGCCGACGTGGAAGCTGGAGCAGACTTGGCTTTGCATGACACCATCGGGGATGTGGTTCCGCAGATTTCAAGCCATCTTAACTGCTTAGTGTAATTGAGACTGAATGTGTCCCCCACTCTGCCCCCACCCCAGCAGCAGCCTGCAGACCTGCCCCTGCCGGAACCCCAGGTGCCTCCCCCACAGCCGAAGAGCCTCTTACAGGTCTAGTAGAAACCTTGAGCCGATTGCTGGGGTGGATTGCTGGGGAGGTTGACCTGGCCTGAGGGCGTCATGTGACTCTCTTACAGGAGCTCCTCGGTCCGCCCCGAGCCGGATCCCCAACTCTGCTGAACAGCCTGCTTGGCAGCCCTGATTCGGGCTCGGGCCTGCTTAGGCCGGGTGTGACGTCCCCGCCCCTGTTCCCACAGAGGGCTCCTTCGCCTGAGTACTACCCAGGCCGTGTGCACCCCCAGGCCGGTAAATGCCTGTGTTTAGCCCGCTTTACTCGTATTCCCCCCCCCCCAAGTGCCCTTTGTGTCAACCTGTGGCATCTCCTCTGTGCCAGGGTTTGCAGTTGGACCGCAGCCCCTTCTGCCGGATCAATTTGCAGATCTCCCCCGACCCCTGAGTCCTGGGCTGACCCCTCAGCAGGTGGGTGGTCTTGGCTCCTGAGGAGTGATAGCGATGTATGTAAGTTTGTGGCCACGGATGCAGTGGGATATGGTGCTTCAATGACCTGCTTCGCCTGAATGCCATGTTGGCGATCAGGGAATGTGAGTGTAGCGATGATTTTAGCTCATGTTTTCAGCAGATTGGGTGTCTTAAAACATGAGCTGCCGTGTGCTTGCAGATGAGAGTGCTCCCCTTGACGGTGGACCCTGCTACCCTGGACGCCCTTATCCAGCGGGATCTGGCCCTGCACGCACGCCAGCTTCTCCATCCTGGCTTGAGCAAGCTGCCCCAGGACAAGGCTCACCGCACCAGGTATGAGCTGGGCTCTGAGCCCCGCCTGAAATTCTGCTTGCTCTGTGCAGTCTGTCCTCCTCATGTCTGTGTGCCGCTGCAGGCAGCCCCGGATGAACCGTTCCCCTGGCCCCGGGGGACTCGCCGCCGGTGGCTCCCCCAGTAACGTGGTGTCCAGCATGGTGAGCGGCCGCCTCCGTTCCGCCCACGCCGCTCCGAGTCCCTTTTGGCTCCGTTATCCTTGTCTGTGGTCGGGATGAGTAAAGCGTGGCTCTTTCCGGAACAGCTCTCTCCGTCTTTCACGCCAACGTCAGTCATCCGGAAGATGTACGAGACCAAGGAGAAGAATCGCGACGAGGCTGGGAGTCGTCCTGACCTGGGGCCGCGCTCTCAGGAGGGTGAGCTGCGCCGCCTTTCTGCAAGCTGTCCGACGCCGAAGTGTCCTTCAGCTGGAACTGATGCAGAAGGATGTTCGGTTATGATTGGGATGTCGCTGAAATAGCTCTTAAGTATTGGCTTGCTTGGCAGGAGCAAGTTTATTAAGTCACTTTTATCCAGTGGTGCCCTTTTTCTACAGACTCTGTTTTATACCCCTGTTCATCCCATAGACAGCAATAGCTCCCCTAGTTCCTTCCTGGAGGGCGTCGAAGGCCGCAGCTCACCAGCAGGGGGCGCCAAGCCTGGCTTCCCTCGCTCCACCTGCTCCACTCCACTCTCCGGCCAGCCCAGGCACTCCAAGGACTCAGAGCGCCCTCTACAGAGTGCTTCTGATCACCACACCCCGACTCTTTCCCCCGGCCACACGTCGCCGTTCCCCCGGCCCATTTACCCGGTGCCGCTGCTATCCCACGTTCCTCTGGGGCGGCCTCCTCCACAGGTGCACCCCTCTGTGGTGCAGAGGATGCTGGTCCAGGGCCTCCAGCCTCAGCAGCTGCCCCCCACACTGCTGCCAGCAGGTCAGTTATACCCTCCTGGGAGGTAAATAAGACCCACATCATGCTGAAACAAGTCTACAACACAATTTCACTTCCTGGCTAAAAAAACCCCCCCACCCCCCCCAGGAGTGTTCCCCCCGGGTGTGGACCTCTCGCAAGTCCAGGGCCTGCCTCCAGCTCTGCTGGGCCAGCCGTTTTATGCCCTGGGAGCTTCAGGATACCCCCTGGTGCCCCCCCGTCCCGGAAACCCCCTGCCACTGACAGTGCTGCAGCAGCCAAGACCAGGTGAGCGCTGTGTTCTGGCCCGTGTCACTGGGCTCACCCACACAGGTTTTGGGTCGACATGGTGGACATGGTTCGCTTAGCAAGCCGCCTTCAGAGCTGGCAAACATCAGCACATTCAAATCACTGAGCGTTTGCCCCACCGGCCTGTCCTCTCTCTCCCCAGTGGTCCACACAGCGGTATCTGGGGTGCCCCCTCCTGGCAGCATGCCCCCCAGCCAGGTTCCGCAGCGGACGGGGCAGCGGCGGGCTGGGAGCCCCCAGCTCGGCCTGGCCAAGTGGTTTGGAAGCGACGTTCTGCAGCAACCGCTACCCTCCATGCCCACCAAAGTCATCAGTGTGGATGAGCTGGAGTTCAGCCAGTGAGACGACAGAGCAGGACACGACAGAGCAGAGCCCTCCTCTGGGCACAGGGCCTTCTCGTTTTTTTTGTTTTTTTTTTTTTTGTAGCATACAACAATGTGAATTTTATTTCCTGAGAGACGGATGTACAGCGTGGCACACTCCCCATGTTGCCTTGTTAAATCTGGCCCTTGCCAGGGGTATGCAGAAAGGGGGCTCGGGGTGGGGGTCACCCAGCTACCGTTTTTGTATGGAGTGAGATTTCGGTTTTCTATTTGGTTTTGCAGTAAGTATGACCTGATGGATGGGCTCATTGTGCGGACTTTGGGAATCTGCTCCCCTTCCTGTACATAAACTCTTCAAGAGGGGAACCCGTGCTGCTGGGTTAGGGATACAAGCCGCTGCAGGCGGGTCGGTCCAGTGTAATGTTATTTCTCTTTCCTGGGGGGTCACATGCTGCACTGAAGGGTGGAGCTGCAGAAGAGAACCCTAAAGATTATATTTTTTTGAGACGTTTGTTTTGGGTCCTGCCGCCCTTCCTTTCGATGCCCCCAGCTTCTCCCACTTGATGTGCTTCAGTCCATCTCCTGCCATGGTCATTCTGGAAATCTGTGTGGGCTGCCTTTCCCTCCCTAGGACAAGCCCGAGACTGAGGGAATGGGGGGATGTGGCTTCAGAAATTCTTTTTAGGCCTTTCATTCTGTGTTTGGGTTCTGGTCAGCGTTCTGGTGGCGGTGGCGTCACATCACCTGGGTCTACCTGGTCACTGGAAGCTGCTTTGGATCACACAAACGGCTTATTTTCTTTTTGTTTTGGGGGGGTGGTAGACAAATTGTGCATTTGAGTAAAGGACACAAATGCAGTAAAAAATTAAAATAAAATAAAATTTGCTCACTAAGTTCTGTTTGATTCTCCTCCCTTCCAGTTGCAGTGGTGTTTGGTGTCTGGATCCTTATAGCTGACACTAGCTGGCTGCTGTTCATTAGGCAGGTCTCTGCTGACCTCTTATCAAAATAATCCCTTCAGTAATGCCATAAACTTTAGTTCTGTATGCACTGAGATCACTTGCTTTTCATTTGTGTACTTTGATCACATGACTCTGGCAGGGAATCTTTTTAATGTGATCTTCATGTCCAAGTGGCAGTTGCCCAAGTCCAGCAGTGGCTGGGTTTGCGCCGTCCATGTCTGTGTAAATGGTCACGGTACCGTGCAGAACCCTGATTCTCTCAGGAAGTGTTAGACCCGTGTTCTTATGACTCTCACTGCTAGTCACCTTTTGCTTGCTGACCCCTGTGTGCCTGCTATTCTCTATGGCTCCTATCTTACCATCTTTCTAGGTGAAAGAGGGCCTTTGTTGACTACGTTAAGGTTAATGCATGTAGACTCGCCCCTTTCCTTCCTCCTCCGTAAATGTAGCCTTCACCAAACTTTCTAGTTCTAAGGTGTGATGTCTTGACAACTGTGTAGTCAACATAATACACTAAGCTATAACCAGGAGATGAGCCTATTCCCTTTATTTCAGGACTGGGCAACTTCAGGATTTGTAGGCTCTATGGTAAACTTGCGGATACCAAGGGATCCACTTGGCTGATTGATCTCCACACTGAGGTGGGGGTGCATCTTGAACTGACAGTGCTAGCGGGCAGCCTTACTGAACCTCTGGTGCGGTTTCAATTTAAGGTCTTTAATCTCATCCATGAAGTTCCAGTCGGCTGGCAGCCGCGGCCTGGGGTGTCACCACTGGTGTCTGTTCAAACCGAACGTGGCTGGGCTGGCAAAGGATCTTGCTGGCCGCTGTGCAGTGGTGGGCTGTCATATGAAGCACTGCCTGTCTGGGGATCCTGCTGGCCGCTGTGCAGTGATGGGCTGCCATATGAAGCACTGCCTGTCTGGGGATCCTGCTGGCCGCTGTGCAGTGATGGGCTGCCATATGAAGCACTGCATGTCTGGGGATCCTGCTGGCCGCTGTGCAGTGATGGGCTGTCATATGAAGCGCAGCCTGTCTGGGTGTCTGGGGATCCCCCTGCAGTCTGACCTCCAGCCTGCCTTTTCTAAAAAGGTGTAAGTGCGCAACCCATAGGATTATTTTCAAAAACCTGTCTTGCCATGCCCACCATGCCCCCCCACCCCCACCATGTCCAGTTTTTCTTAAATGATTAACGCCTCTGAATTTCACCCACCTCCCACAGAGAATGGGGTTTTGATGCCATTAACAGAGGCTTGGCATTGCAATTAAACACCTAAGGCAAAATACCCACACTAAAAACCTGACGTTTTTAATGTTTTAGTGTTTGGCAGCAGCTTGTGTGACATTCTTTCTGTTTATTGAAAGATCAGTAATATTATTTACTCCAGTAAATCCATCCATGCCATGGGTTAACATAGTTTGATTTAGTGTAAAGGATATCTTTATATCCTATATCTCCAAGTCTGTAAATCAACTATGGGATTTAAAAATTTTTTTTTAAGTATCTAGGAAAAAAAACTCCCCAAATAGAAAATCCATCTCCAGGTAGCAGCCAGTTTTGTTTTGGTTTCTAAGGGACGGTGGACCGTTTTCTTGGTGCAATGACCTGTGAATATTCCTTCTGATAATTTAACTGGCCAACTGGAACACGCAACGCTGTATAGCCGCTCTGCTGTCCATGGCGATGGATGAAGACAAACCAGCACCATGGTAACTAAGACGAACAGCAGATAGTGTCCTGGGCTCAGGTACCTCAGAGCACCAGTGTGAACTATCAGGCCCCTCTGGTCACTGTGCAGCATGAAGGGTGAGTATCTCTCCTTTTCTTCAGCGCCATGGGGGTGGGATCTGCAGGTACCCTCCAGCTCTGACCGTAGCTTCTGCCCCAGCAGATCCTGTGGTCTTAGTGGCCCTCATCCTTAGCGGGGATTTTGCCCTGCTGTGTTGGGCCAGTTGCGTGAGGGAAGATGTTGCCTATATCTGCACTTCAATGCCGAGCAGTAAGTATTTTCATCAGTGGGAGAACAGAGGAACTGAGGATCTTGTTTCCAGACGGTCTTGTTTCAGGCAGCAAGCCTGTTAGCACAAACAGCAATGCAGCTTCGAAAAGGATAAACTGACATAGGAAAGTACAATGACACCCAAAATGACCTTAAACGCACAGTAGTTTTGAAATTACAGTACACATACCTCAACACTGCAATAAGATCAGTATCAAAATGGTGACTCTAAGCCTAGTGAATACTGTTCGCTTTTAACTTGATTTGATGTTTCCAAACTAAAATTTGCCATCTATTGCAAATGTTCGAGTTTTGAATAAGGCACAGATCCTCTTATTGCTATATGATTTGAGTTTGTGTCTCAATGCCGAATCATGAGAAGCGCACTGAGATGCAGTGAAGCGCAGTGTGCTGACCCTGCTGGTCTTCCTCCAGGCTTCCCCTCCCACCTGTCTTCTGTCCTGTTCTTTGTGAAAGACATGGGAGAGATCAACTCCAGCGTGTTGCAGAGCGCTAACCTGGCTTCTGTGACCAGCCTCACCATGGTCGGCGGCATCTCCACCATCCACCCTGAAGCCCTGTACTCCTTCAGCCAGCTTACGAGACTCAATTTAAATGACAACAACCTCTCTGAGATCAACTCCGACTGGCTGCGTCAGCCCAGCTTGTTGAGGAGCCTCATCATGTCTGGGAACCGGCTGCAGGTCTTGCATGAATCCATGCTGCAGAACTTCTCTGGCCTTAGCAGCCTGAACCTCTCCCAGAACTTGATCCACACCATCATGCCAGGAATGTTCCGTTCACAGGGGGACTTGGCTTGGCTGGACCTGTCAGGCAACAAGCTGACCTTCATAAGTGCGGAGGTCTTCCTGCAACTTCATTCCACTCGCATCTTATTGCACCACAACCCGTGGGACTGTTCGTGCCAAGCAGTGGCCTCTATGCAGCTAATCAAAGGTAATCTCACTCCCTGGGTCTCCTTAATGTTACTAATGGTAGTATTGGGGTAGCAGGGTCCATATTAATGCTGGATCCTGCGCTACAATGTATGTGTATGTTTAGTGTGTAGTAATTTTACCTGCTCATGTTTTGCCTGTGACAAGCAAACTTCACAGAGGAAGCAGAAAATCAGTTCTGATTTTGATTCTGCTTTTCCACCTAAAAGTGCTTCTCTGCCAGTTATCTACCATAGCAACGCACAGTTAGGATTTGGATATCTTTATTACTGGTTTAATTTCTGCATTTGTACATAATCTAATCGTTGCAACTGAGAATTATAATGGATTTGCAGTTTAGTAGAACAATAAAATACTGACCCAGCCATGATGGTTGTGTAGAGCTTCCAAGACAAATCAGGAATAAAGGTCACATTTACGACCATAGTTCCACATTATAAGTGCGTTAGGTCTGGTGAGAGCTTTGTGTTCCCTTTCCGCAGAGTTGGTTAGCACTTCTCGCTTGGAGAGGGAATTGGATGTGGTCTGTGCTTCACCAGCCCCACTGAGAGGATGGCCTGTGTGGAACGTGTCTGAATACCTGCTCCCCGGGACCGCGATCCCTCACGGGGACCAGCCGCCCCCAACCGGCCTCCCCGTTCTTATAGGCCTTATAGGTATGGTGATCCTTCACGTTGCTGCTTCATTGTTACCCAGAGTAGCAGCAGAGCTGACCCTCAATGGCATGTCTTTCTCAGTTCTTGGTGTGCTGCTCTGTGCCGCCTGTCTACTCTTTGGCCTCTACAAGTGGAAACGGGAGAAGAAACGGGTGAAACCACGCGTGGACAAGGGGAGGGACAGCCTAAAGTCTCAACAGACGGGGGTGAATGTCGAAGGGAGGGGTTCATCAGACCTGACCAGGAGCACCGGAGGCAAGACCAGAGCCAAGTCCGCAGGTGCTGTCCTTTGCATTGGTCAGTCTGGCCAGCAGGTGTCTAGAACAGGGAACCAACTAATCGCCGATCAGCCCAAAGTGTGGCACCACCGAGACCGAGAACAGGGAGCAGAGACCCGTCCCTCCGAGCAGCCAAATGCCATGGATCAGGGCGAGGAAACGCGCTTGGCAGGGGCCCAGCAGGACACGGGCAGAGAGATGAGTCTGCTTCAGGAGACCGAGAAATTGCCCTACTTAATCATCGGCCAGGAGCCTGCAGAGCCAAGCGCAGAACCCCAGGGGGCTCGTTATGGCAGCAGGCCCTGTGTCAACAGGAGGGCCATCAGGAGGACGCCAACCTGGCCACCCACTTCAGCTGAGTGGAAAAAGCAACACGTATGCAGAAGGGAAGCTCTGAACTTCTCTCCGATCGATTTTGACAACTCTATCAATAAGAGAGATGCCGATCAGAGAGACTTCTCCCTGGGGAGTTCTGATGGTGATTCTCAGGTCAATGTGGACAGACCACCAGTAGGGGGCGACATAGATCCCCCTGAAGATAGTTACTGGCCTTTGGTTAAAACAGACATCCTGAGTTTTAAAGGGGACACTGAAAAGAATGACACAGCCCAACCTAAGAAGCCAAGCAGTCAGACCCAGTCTGCTGAGGTTAACATCAGTCAGGCTCAGGACTCGTGTGATGTGTTGGAAGAGTTCCATGGCTGTCAGCCTGAGTCCAATGAAGCAGGAAGAAAGAGAAGGAACCGAACGGGCAGGTGCCCCAGCAGTGGGTCTGGGGCGGAGATCTCGGACCATCACGGTGGATCTAGTTTCCAAAGTTTTCCGACCCACAGCTCACCGGCAGACAAGAAGCTCCTGCAAGGTAACGAATACGCGTTCATTAACCTGCTGCAGGAGGTGGTGGAGAATCAAGGCCGCTGGACCCGCGACCGGTGGAAACAGACACATTTAAACAGGCAGAGGGGCAAAGCACAGAACCCATAGCGGAGAGCCTGCACCCTGGCCCAGCTGGAGGGACGTGGGTGGACCTCAGCCTGGGCTGTATGTCACAGGTTCCTCATCTTCATCTGTAGATACTGTGCTATGGAGAGCCACTCAGCCCCTGGTGTGTGAAGGGAGGCTCAGCAGACAGATCCAGCCGAGAGCCGCTGGTGGATAACCTGCTGCCGGTCATGTGATTCATGGTGACCATATTGGCAATGTGTGAAGACAGTGAATGACGCTGCATTTTGAAGTGAATATAATCCAGCATTTATTACATGTTTAAACAGTGTGTCCTTCCACTGTGCTCTGTAAATGCAAGAAAGGCACTTGGTCAGGTTAACCCATAAAATGTATAATAAAAGTGTGTTTTGTAACTATTTCATGTTGTATTATCCAGTATTAGAAGTATGAGCGTAATGCATGCTTTGTATTCTAGAGTATCTGTTGTAGCACATAGTTACACAAATCACATGGCAGTGTTGTAGAAAAAGTGGAACTCCCCTTCTTCCTTTTTAGCATGCTGCTTTTTTTCTGACAGATTACAGAATAGACCAAAGGTATTTGTACATCTTTTTTTTCCTCTAAGTATCCTGCACTACTTCCTGGTCTCTCACTGGACACTCAGCCTAGCTGCGCTTGTACCCAAGTTAAAGTTGTATACTGGTGTCCGTCTTGTACAGAAGTGTGCCAAATAAATGTGAAATGTGCATGTAAACAAAGAAAAACTTCTGGTATGAGAAGTGAGGTTCCTCTCATGCATGTGATTAAAGTCATCGAGGAGGAAGTTGGAATTTCAATAGCACATTCTGGAAGTCTGAAATGGAACTGCTGTTGGCTACACAGTTTACAGACAGTAATTAGATTTGAAGAAGTACTTTGATACTTGATTTAATTACTGATGACAAATTTCTGGGTACAGTTTTATTCAGGTTCTGTAAGAGTTGATCAGAATCCTGGATAGTGGTCGTTCAGTGATTAAGGAAGGTCATTAGAAGGCTTGCATTTGTATGTCCATGTGGCTCAAGGTCCAACACACCACATTTCAAAAACCTAATTAGGCTGCCCAAAACGTAAGAAGGATGTTTCGTCTTAAAAATATTCACACACATCTCGACTGGTAGATTTGCCACTATCTGAAATTAAAAAAAACTTTCCAACATACAGTACATTCTTGCAGTCTTAATTTAATCTGAACATGAAGGTGAGACCAGTTAATGTTCATAATGTAATACTAATAATGTTCTTGCATGTCTCTCCTGGTGTCACACGCAGAGCAAAGCCTATGTCCCTCCCTCACAGGGTGACATGCCCTCCGTGTCAGTATTGTCACTCCCTGATGTGTTGTCCTGGTCGAACTCTTGATCCTTCTTGCAAGTGGTCTTTGACCTCACTGCAAGCTGTCTGTTGGTCAAGGGGAAAGTAAAAACATCACTGCTGCACATATGAACACAGCTAACAATCATGCACACACTGCACATTCATTGCAGTTACCAACCTCCTGTAGTTGAAATGACAATACATTCTGGGTCTCCTGCTGGGACTATCATTGGATTGGATATCCTGGGAAGTGACTGGAATTTCGCTGAGAAGAGACTGGAAATTCTACATTTTAAAAATTGGTCTTCATGACATGAAACACAACTATAAACATCATAATGTTTGGAAAATTCTGAAATTATTAGGGCTAAGGAGATCTGCATTCTTTATATAAGGGGTAGGCATCCAGAAAGTGCTGCTTTGTGTGTGGGTTTTCACTGGAACTCCATAATTAGATTACCAGCAGAGGACTGATTGGCTAGGTTTAAACAGCTGATCTAAAGGTTATCCCAAAAACCTCTAAACACACTGGTCCTTTGTGGATAAGATTGCCCACCCCTGACTTATATATATATGTGTGTGTGTGTATGTATATATACACACAAAAATATACACCGTTCAAAAGTTTGGGGTCACTTCGAAATGTCCTTATTTTTGAAAGAAAAACACAGTTTTTTTCAATGAAGATAACTTTAAACTAATCAGAAATACACACTATACATTGTTAATGTGGTAAATGACTATTCTAGCTGCAAATGTGTGGTGTTTGGTGCAATATCTACATAGGTGTATAGAGGCCCATTTCCAGCAACTATCACTCCAGTGTTCTAATGGTACAGTGTGTTTGCTCATTGTAATCATCAGAAGGCTAATGGATGATTAGAAAACCCTTGTGCAATCATTAGAGAAGCTATAAAACTGACCTTCCTTTGAGCAGGTTGAGTATCTGGAGCATCACATTTGTGGGGTCGATAAAACGCTCAAAATGGCCAGAAAAAGAGAACTGTCATGTGAAACTCGACAGTCTATTTTTGTTCTTAGAAATTAAGGCTATTCAATGCGAGAAATTGCCAAGAAACTGAAGATTTCCTACAACGGTGTGTACTACTCCCTTCAGAGAACAGCAGAAACAGGCTCTAACCAGAGTAGAAAGAGAAGTGGGAGGCCCCGCTGCACAACTGAGCAAGAAGATAAGTACATTAGAGTCTCTAGTTTGAGAAATAGACGCCTCACAGGTCCTCAACTGGCAGCTTCATTAAATATTACCCGCAAAACGCCAGTGTCAACATCTACAGTGATGAGGCGCCTCCGGGATGCTGGCCTTCAGGGCAGAGTGGCAAAGAAAAAGCCATATCTGAGACTGGCCAATAAACGTAAAAGATTAATATGGGCAAAAGAACACAGACATTGGACAGAGGAAGATTGGAAAAAAGTGTTATGGACGGACGAATCGAAGTTTGAGGTGTTTGGATCACACAGAAGAACATTTGTGAGACGCAGAACAACTGAAAAGATGCTGGAAGAGTGCCTGACGCCATCTGTCAAGCACGGTGGGGG